ATTCCTGCAAACCACTACACTCGCACAGGAATCGTTTAACCTGTGTACATCTCCATCCTTGCACGGAATCATACTGAGACTAGGGGGTATACTTTGCACCAAGTTCCATGGATTCTGTAACTGATCAGATGGCTGCGAACTAAGTATTTGCTGTTCCTTGTCGATTTCTATTTGCGTCGCTGCTGGTCGTTGGTGCCAAGGATCTGGCGTTTTATTCAGCCAGGGATTCGAAGGATAACCTTGCGCGGATACGTAAGCTGGCGGTAATAATGGTTGAGGTGGTTGCGACGGTCCGTATGAAGGTGACTGCGATTGTTGTGGTGATTGTGAAGGTACGTAAGATGGCGGTTGTGACGGTCCGTAGGACGGTGATGGCGCTAACGTCGGTGGCGCTGGCCGTAAGGTCGGTGGTTGTGGTGGTAAAGATGGCGATTGTGTCTGTGGCGAGGTAGGTTGCAGTGGTAGTGGAGGCGTTGCTGCGCCTTTGCAGTCGACATTGTACGGGTAGTCACAGACACCTAGTATCTGTGAAGTAATAAATCGTAAGTGAAATACGAGGATGCGAGTGAGACACAGTGTATAAATTATACGGTGTTGGAATGGCGAAAAGGGTTTGGAGAAAAGAAAAATAAGTACGAGACATGCACGTGGTATATTGGATATGTCGGCATTCGAATGTCTGTAAATGATAAATGGAAAATTGTGTAATCGTGGTCGTTGTGTGTTATAGGTTAGTATATATTGTTATTAGATAGATGTATATAGAATATTGTACAGAATGTTTGTGTTATGGTTAAGTTTAAGTTAGATGGTTAGTAAATTGCAAATATTGTTATTTATATGATGTAATAATAGAAGCATATACATATATATCTGTCTAATATTGCATTGATATTTCTCACAAAATTCATTCAGTAAGTACCCATTTCCAATAAGATAATTTACTTCATTCTCATGCTTTATATGTATGTTTAACAAAAATAAGTATAAAATAAATATATAAAAGATATAAATTCTAGAAAAAGTGTAGTCATGGAAAGAAATATAATTCTAGTAATAATTATTATGATGATTAAAAAGAACTTTAGTTATCTAATAAAGAGTACTTCATATTCTATGAAAATAATACAGTAAGCTGTAGAAGAGGCTCATTTATATGAATTAATCAAATAAATAGATTTAAATGCATGCCCTTTAAATATATAAAGGGCAAGTTATCCTAATTACAAATTAATGATACAAATAACTGTATTAATAACAACATTTGTTAGTGTCAAAGCAACATTGTAACAAGATACAATACAAAACAAAATTCATTGAATGTCAACATTTGAAGATGTTGCAGGTACAATTTTAAAGATTTGAAAATCTCTATAACAAAATTAGATCCATTGGAACAGCTTTTACTATTTTATATTTCTAAGAACATATATTTGTGTAATATCTTTTTCTCAGCAAAATTAACCAAATATCTAATTTGTTTTCTGCCCAAGTTTTGGGTTTCTTATACTTTCCTTGACCATGTACTCAACGATTACCTCTGTTATTTAAATATTTGTAATTTTTAATGTCTGAGAGCATCACCTGCAAGTATCATGGACTCAATAACGTCACGAAATTTATGCACAACAAGCATACGGAATTCCAAAATGAAAAGTAAGGTTAATTCCGAATTTATTTTCAACCAACGACACGGAAGCCCCAGGGAACGGCCTTTGACCGTGTATGGAGATAAAATGGGAGTTCATATGGAGGAGATTCTCACGATTGTGTGACGCACACTGTCATTTCGTGGTTTAAAATTCTGCGAGTGCCCTAGGGATAATTCAAGAATAAGATTCTTACGTCATTATAGACCAGGCCGCGAGGGCAACCGAATTTGATGGGCTTTCTGTAAACGCACACGTAGAATTCCGAGCAGTTTGTCGCACTTCTGTACCGACCATTAGGTTCTGGACACAGTTTTGATCCATCAGGAAGAGGTGGTTCTAAAAGAAATAAAAAAACGTTCCATTGGTGATAAATTACGTGTGATCATAAGATATGTTGAGGTTAATGGAATATCAGAAACAAATATTTTTTTCTATTTTTATGAACATGATATGTTTTATCATAACCTGTTCCATTTTGTTTTATTTCATTGTCGGTAATACTGAACCTAACCTTAATCTTTTTAGACGCTTGAAGAATACTGTGTTATTTTATTCGTAATAAAGATTGTAAATTATAATCATAATTTTTTCATTATTTTTAATACAAGGATAAAATTTAATATTTTTGTTTAGTGTCATTAACTTACCAGAGTTTTAAATGATTTAAGCGGTTAATACTGTTTTGTTTATAATCACCGACATAATTTTTTTTTGTTAACACTAGCAAATTACTTTTAATTTATTAAAAATTATTCGAATTTTTCGAAGTAACTGGTATAAATTAAATATTTCAATTTTACAAAAACTTAAATTATTTTTTAAACATTGTAATCTTATAGCCAAATTTTTCTTATTTGTCCTGTCAACATGATCTTCACTTCAGGTAAAAATATCTGGTCCAACCAGTTTTACATTTTTTCAACTTCTTACTTACAGATATAATCTCTCAACTTCGTATCAAGTCGAATTATTTACCTCATTAAATCGAACAATACAACCTCAATCCACTTATATATATCAAGACAAACCAGTTCAATATTTTTCTATTCTTCCAAAAATAAATCAAATTTCTGAAGTAAATTAAAATCGAATTAGTTTTCTCATTAATCCAATCAATTTACATGTAGTCAATTTACAATTCCAAGAAAAAATCAGCTCTGTACTTCTATTTCTCATATGCAAATAAAATTATCGAACTCAGTAACAAATCCAATTATTACCCGCTCTTATCTAATTTACGTATAATCTCCAGTTTTTGTATTTTCCAATTTTTATGTCGAAATAAAATTTCTCAACTTAATAGGAAATCGTGCAATTTTTTCGCATTAATGCGACCAACATAATCTTCAAGTTATAATATACAGAGAAACGAGTTCTTCCAATCTTTTGCATTATCAGGATAATAACCAAGGTCCACTTACTTGGAGTGGGCAAAGGTCGGTTCCCACAATTAACATTGTAATCGTAATCGCAAACCAAGGTAACATCGTTGAAGAGCAGTCCGTCGGGGCAGGTTTGTTCAGTGACCATGTCGTCCCAACAATTTAAATAATTGGCGCAACTCTTCGGGCTTGGAAACTGTCCACGCAGAGCGTAGCATCCAGGTGGCGGTGTTATCACTGGTATCGGTTTGGCGGTTATGGGGCCTGGTAGCTCGTTCGTGTCTCCTGGACTGGGCACACTCGGATAAATCTGCCTGGTACTTAGAAAATCTGGGCCCTGTGACTCAGTGCCGTTCGTGGATGGGGGATTTTGGTTCCAAGTATTTGCATGGTTATCCAACTTTTGTAATTCCACTAGGTCCCATACGTTTTCTAAATCTATCGTGTGAAAGGTTAGGTATATATGTATATGTATACTTTTTGGTACGAAATTTAAAAATAGTGTGACTTTTTGGTATAGAATGTTCTATATAAAATATATATTCAATATTCTAATATTCTAATATATATATATATAATACATCATAGTGAAATATAGGTATCTCTAGTGTAATATGATACTTGTACAATACGGATTCGTTTCAATATGGTTCGAGAATTTGAGAAATCGTCATAATGATAGGTAAGGAGAATTTTAAAGAATAAATACGTTTGTTATTTTATTTTATGGAATTTTAGAATATCGAAATTTGAAATTTATTTTCAGTTGATGTATATATTAATGTCTTTTTTAGCGAAAGTTTTTTTGTTATAGGGGAATAGTAATACGAAATTTTAATAGGGTAATGAAATTTCTTAGAAGTAACATAAATAAAAATTATACCTAAAGTAATGAGTAGAATTACTTTATTTCAATATTTCACGTGAGAACTTCATAATTTTGCTCTATATGATATCAAAATATGCAAAAAACGTTACGTAATATTAATGTGTAATAATTTCCATTAGTTATTGATTATTTCCATAAATATATCTTTTTTTAATTTTATCATATATTAATAATACAGTAGTTTTGAGAGCTAAGAATTTTTTTTAGTATGCAGTTTTTTATAATCATTTTGTAGTCAATGTATAGTAATTGCTTCACAAACTTTTTTATATATTTGTAAATTTATTTTTTCTTATAAAGGAATTCATTTTTTTTTTTCATGAACATTGTAAAAATTATATTGACACAAAGCTATCTAATTTTCAAAATGATTAAATTCATTGAATTCCTTTTTCCCCTAATATTATATGAATAAAAAGATACTAAATTCGATTAGAAAAATAGATTATTTATTTCACAGTCAAATTTGGGACCTAAAAGTTTTCCACCAGTCGATAAGATCAATGCTCCTGTCATTTACTGAAATTGATCCAATAGAAATAAAATTCGTACTGCAATAGATAATATGAGTCGCTCACTTGCCAAACCGATTAACCTCATAGAACAAAAACTATCAATTAATTTATATACATTATGTAAAAATTTAAGAATCAATCAAGTGACACTAACATTTCAAAAATTTCAAAAATTCAAAAATTCAAAAATTCAATGGAGTTAATCACTTTGGCCTGTAAATTGCTGACATAATAGTCTACGAATTTCCTCTCTACCTAAATTTTTTCATTCAAGAAAATAATAACTACTATAACTAAATTTAACAAAGTTCACTATTCCCCACTACCATTCACTATAGAATGCAAGCATAAAATGCCGAAAGACGAAATCTACCAAACTTGAAAACTGTTATGCTAAAACCATAAAATTATCACTGAGAAACGCTCACTGACCTTGTTGTTGAGGGTGTCCTAGGTGTCTTTCACCAAACGTGGCTAGCGTGGACGCCGCGGTGGTCGTCCTCCTGGCGGCGTCGCAGAGGCCAAGCACAAGGGTCAGCAGTATCAAGATGAACCTCATGGTAATGCCGGACCTCTTGATCAACGACTGATAGAGGGACAAGGATCACCCTCGAGGACGTACGAAATCAGCGACGTATGAACTCGCGGTTAATCGTGGGATCGTTGGCGAACCACGTTGTCCGAGTCCTTGCGTGCGATGTCCTGATGCTGGATGGCCTGGACCTGGTCGGTTCGAGGGCTTACATAGGGCATCCCCCACCATTCTGCTTCGTAGGGAGTAGCTTCGCAGGACCCCAATTACACGGGCGCAGGACCCTGTGGTGGACTCTTGCTCAGGAAGTGCACGATTCTTCTCTGCACCACTCTTCTTCCACAGCTGAAATTCCCCTCCCCACTTGCTCGTCAGCGGGGTCGAAGACGCCGCAAGGACGCCGATTCGGTGCGCGTCGGGTGGATTCTTATTGGAGGAGATTTAGAATGACCGGTCAGAACCGTGTATTTCCCCCCTCGGTGATCATTCGTGCCTATGTGCCCGCGAACGCGTATCGCGTGGTCACCGAGAGGTCTCGCGGATGGGCTGAAAGGTTGGACGATGGCGCTGAACGACCGCGTAGGATGTCAAGGTCTCCTCCGGGTGTATGTACTTACTTGGGTCGCCTTTCGAACAGTGTTCTGGTAACGGTATTGTCAAACAGTTTGGCTTTCCGCACGTTCAACTTTTGGTTATTTTCGTACGCTTGCGGGATGCAGTGGTCTGATGTAATCTCATTGGTCGGGTGATCCTTGTTGGGTTGCATCAGGTGAGCCGGTTGGGATGTTGCTGTGATGTCCCTGGAATAAGTGCAAACTTTGATTTTCGTTTCTGTTGTTAGGTTTGTGTGTATTTTCCCCTATATTTTCCTTTATTTCTATGTATTGATTAGCGATTAGGCTAATTGTGACATGGTTTGTTTTGTTAAGTACTACTAGCGACATTTGCTTTGGAGAGACGTTGATGGTGATGAAATTTCTTTTTAGATCTACTTTTTAGGTTAGGTCGGCTGGTCCAGACTATTCTGGGGTTCTAGTGGAGATTGTGATTATGACTCATTTATTATGATAAGTAGTGTATCTCTTCCAAAGTTCATTTTTATTATATGATATATTTTTGTTGTCATTTGTTGACTTAATATATGGAATGGGTCTAATTAAATGTATATATGTATATATATGCTGTTGAGCAAACATTTGAAATTACTGTGTGTGCCATGAAATTAAAAAATTGAGAAAAAGTCAGTTAAGGATTGTGTTATCTTGAGAAACTTAACAAATCGCTTGAGTACTCATAAATATAGCTAAATATAAGTAAAAATATTTATTTAATAATTGAAACTGCTTATAATTGTCATAAATAATATAGGAATATATTGGAGGTAAAAATATATTTTAAAATTATTCCTTACCCAATTTTTAATAATTACTGTCTTTACTGTATACTATAAAATGAGAAACGAGTAAGCCTACACCACAGTCTGAGCAATAAATCTATTTCTCCTGATATTCTCTCATTGTTACATAGATATAGTACCAGAAACGATACAAAATGTCCCAAAAATAAAATCTAACCTGTAAAAGATGATTCTAAACTGAACCAATCTGGACTCTCTATAGCAAACTATCTGCTTCAATCATTTCAAACTGTTCAGCAGCTTAAAAACACCCAAAGATCAACGTATAAGCATAAAAAACGCAAAACACCCCTTAATCAACGTTAATATAGTTTCTCAAAGTACTGGTGAAAACGCTCTACATACAAATTCGGTTGCTAAGCGAGTCATCTATTAGTCATCGGCCACTGCGAAACTCCAATCCGGATCAGGCTATTACGCATAACCAGCGCCATCATCACGCAAAGAAACAGTATTCCATATTCCATAGGATTCCTGGAAACCGGTAACAAGTGGCTCGCGTGGTTCCCCAATGAAGCCAACTTCCGGTGTCCTTGCCTCCAAAAGCTTTCGAAGCATCTCGAAGGACGGATAGGGAGCCCGACCATTGAACCTTTGAGTTCCGAAGCTGGAATGCAGAGGCGGGAAACACCATTGAGATTGCTGTTTGGAAGGTTTCTCATTACCTCGAAATGCATTCCGATATTCGAGGGACCATTGGTCCCTTGAATGATTCGGGACGCCTCTTTCCTGGTCCCTCCTACTGGATATTGCGTGAATTTTATGGTGCAGGTTGCGTTGCAGCTTCAGGGAGGACCAGTGTCCTGGGCCCATCGTCCTTTTTATTGTCCGGCAATGAGGAAGATTCCAGCGACTGGAGGTACGAAAAAAAGAGCAGACCGAGTAGATCCACGTAATCCTGAAATTCAGATACTCAGAGACCGCGACGAGTTTTGGCAAGAGCACCGCTCGTGAGTCACGCATGACCTCGGCATTTGCTTTTCCAATGCGTGCGATTCACATTTTACCGAAAACAGTTAAACGCGATTTTTGACCATTTTTCGCGGTCACGTCACTCGGAAGTTCGTTACTCCTGCGTTCTGCATCGGTTTAATTCGGTGAAGTATCGCTAGAGGGTGTTCGTGTCGCGCCGCGCCGGGTTGCGAGAGAAGTTCGTCGTTTACGCGTGTTTTTGGCATGTTTAATGGGCGACCGGGTGGTAATTGGAGGTTGTGACGTATCGCGACGGCGTGTTTTAATTTTCTTCGTTTTTCGTTTACAAAATATTTTTGTGCGAAGCTGTAGGCAAGTTGCGAGACTCTTATTCTTGCGGATAACTGTAGGGGTTTTGTAATGTGTCTTGATTCGTTTGTATATGTTTCGGGGGAGTTGAAAGTGATAGGTTATGTGGCTCTTATTTTTCGAGCTAACGTGTTAGGTTTTTGTAATGAGATTTGCGATAGGATTTCGTGAAAAATGGAAATTGTGTACGTTGTTGGAAAGTTAAATGATCTACGAACAATATAGATAATTTTTTCACCATACTGTGGACATTATTCATTAGCCATAGTTAGAAATAAATTGTAAACATCAACCATGGAAAAAGTGATTTCTTAGAAGTCAGTAATGGAAGATTTATAAAATAAAATCCACATCCCGTTTTGTAAGTAGATTTTTATTATTATTTCCTAAATTATAAATTTTATTTTGCGTAGATTTCTTATGTTGATAACCTCACAAAAGTCAAGATAAGAAAAAATAAATATATGTATTTATGAACTACTATATAAATTTCATTTCTATACATTTTTAGGTTATAAACATGTTTTGGAATATTGATTGTCAGTTGAATGATACAAAAATTTCTCTTTAATTCGATTACTTACGTTGTCATATTTTCCGTGTTACGAAGCACGTGACGTACAACGATGGGTGAAATAATAAAGACACACGTAACCTTTCAAGCTGTTTAAAAACTGATGGTCAGACATTGTCGTATCCGTCTAGGAAGAGCATACAACGGTTGGTAGAATGGCATGGAAGATCTGCGAGCACTGGCGTGCAGAGATAAAATGTGAGACACTGTGCGTATTCGTGACGAGAATTCGTTGGGCGTTAGACTCGTTTAAGCTTCATAACTTTTTACTGTTGTGTAGGTTGCACGAGGCAAGCTGTGATTACTAAGTAGCTCTAAAAAAATATTAATGATACGTGGATTAAAAATAATAATATTGCTATATTTTTCACATATATTAAAAACACCACTATTGTATTAAATATATATGTATGTACATATTTTAATATCCTAATCCTAAGAATATGTAAAGTATTCAAAAATATTCAATATTAATATATAATAACATTTAATTAACGCTATATGATCATATTAATTCATATTCAATGATATTTAATATCGATATTAATATTTAATAATTAAATATTTTTAAAATATTTCCAGATTATATACTAGTGACTTTTAAAATACTTTTACAACATTCCTGATGTCATTAACTTCAGTCATATACATACACATGTATTTCATGGTAATTAGTTGACTCACACTGGTGGCAACTGTGTAGAAATATCTGTAAGCTGATTTAAACTGTTCACGTACGTCTCATATCAGTTTCTTATATCAGATCCTCATATCTGTATAATTATAAGCCGACCTTATATAGGAGATGTCTCTGCAAAAAGTTCACGGGACACCGTAGGCGTCCGTGAGCCGAATTTCCGATCCCATCTTACTCCTTTGGAATCTTTCCTTGATTCTATGGTATGCTCGCAAAAAGGCTTCATTCTGGTCAAAAAGGGTAAATTTTTGTATCGAGTATTCTGTGCACGTCAAAATTTATTGCCAATAAACACGCGCGTAATTCTTAGATCTTCCTTTATAATTAAATATAGGTTAAGTTATATGAAATGAAATTGCAAAAAAAATGTTAAGTACATTATCTCTTTTGCACATAAGTAAAATTACAAATTATTAACAGAAATTTCTTCGCTTAACAAAATAATTATAATTAATTTTACTATATTTTTAAATATAATTTTTATACATATTAGAAGAAGCACTGAAAATGTGACCATTGTAATATTTTTCTATATGTTATAAGCAAATAGAAATGAAAATAAAAGATGAAATTATAAAGATTATTTAGTAGTAGAAACACATGATTATCTCAGATTTCTAAAATTTTCATTTATATATATACTTGTGACATTTTGTTCAACATATGTACATAAAATGTGAATGAATTTTGTATATTAATACAATTTTAAAAAATCTGTATTTTATAAATCTGTCCCCAGTATCTGCTTTCCCAATCAGGATCACAGATCATGCAAACGATGTTAAAACTGGCAACTGATCCTAATCTGACGTATATCTTGGAAGCTTACATAGCGTTATCGTCTATTCTATGAGACGATTAATCGCGTCGATCCTTTGCATTTTACCGTCCAAAAATTCATCTTCCCGTCGTTTATCCTTCTCTTTCTTTTGTTCTTATTTCGGTCAGCTTTCCTGTCCAAACTGAACAGTCCGTAGAGCATAGCCACGGACGGGACCGGATAATCGGAAAGAACCTGTAGCGTGCTACCCAAAACGAAAGAAGTAGAAAAATAAACCGTGAAAAGCATTTGAAATATGGGCGAGAAGCCTGGCGAACAAAGAACAAGATACACGACGTGAAAAGACGAAAATAGATTGCTGAAGAAAGAGAGTAAAAATAAAATGAAACTGTCTACGGAAACGAGACACATCAAGTTATTAATTAATTTTATTTGTTTAAGGAAAAATGCGATTGAAGCCTACGTCAAATT